GAACAGCGGAATAGAGGAATAGCAACCGACCGACCGGAATACATTTTGAAACGTTCCCTTAGATAGACAGAATGGATATCTCTTCACACTCGAAATGAATTAGAAAGAAAGCAAACACATGACAACGTGTTTCTTCATGCTATTTTTTTTATCATTTTCTTTCTCCGTTCTATAGAATCGATGCATGCGTACACATTTGCTAAGAATTGCCCATCAGTTATTCATTTTACCTTTGACGGGAAAGTGTACATTCAACCTAATGGTGTATATATGGGCTCATCTCTTTCGCCTGTAATTGCGGATATTTTTATGGGGCATCTTGAGAATACACTTTACGATCGCTTACAAAAGACATTATGCAGTGGCTGCGTTATGTAGATGGTACTTATGTGTTGCGAGTACCTGATGTATCGGCTGAAAACATCCTCGAAATTTTTAATACATTTCATCATAGTATTCGGTTTACTTGTGAAAAAGAGGCGAACGGCTGTATACCGTTCTTGGATGTTAGAGTTATACGATCCTTGAATAGTAATCAGTTTCAGACAACGGTCCACCGAAAAAAGACCTTTAGTGGATTAATGACTGAACGGTCGTCATGTGCTCAGCTTAGCTATAAAAAATCCGCGAGTGTGAGTATGACTCAAAGACCACTCACAATCTGCTCCACTTATAAATTATTGGATGCTGAGTTCCAGGAAATCAAGCACCTTGCTAAGCTAAATGGATATCCGAGAACGTTTATAAATACACTTATCGGTATAGGACTTGGTAAATGGTTAGATAAAAGTAATTGTAAGAGTAAAGTTATCTCTACAGCACTAGACAATGAAAATAACAAACATTTATGTTGAGCTTCCGTGTGTCGAAAGACAGACGGATGTACTCAAAACACGGTTACATCATGTCGCTAGGAAAATACATTCAGACGTGGATCTTCGTTTTATATTGAAGTCTTCGCTAAGTGTACAAACTTATTTCCAAGTTAAAGAGTCAACTCCAAAACATCTGGAATCTGATGTTGTGTACTCTGTCGGATGCTCAGGATGTACTGTCGGTTGATATAAACTTTATTTAGTAAGAAAAAGAAGAACGGTACAAAGATTAAAATCGCGGCCTAGGAACCGCATTACATTATTCTTTGACTAATTTTGAACCAGTTTTCTTGTACATATACGTGTGTATGAGGGGTAGATGGGGACTTGTAGTATTTCTCGATCTGAATATCATTCCCTACCTAGAGTAGACAACCCTCTGTAATAGAGAGAGCATGAAAGGTTCTATCCGGGGCCGTCAGAAATGAAGTTGAAGGCAGTGAAGAAACCAATCGTTAAGCATTTTTTTATATTTATTCTTAATGCCATGTGATCACGGTACTAATTAGCGATTTCCTCCTTGATGACAACGTGAATGTCAAACATGAAGAGTAAGATATGCAATCGAGAGAGGCTGACAGGTTCTATCCGGCGCTGCCAAACATGGAGTTGGAGGCAGTGAACAAGCGAAACGCCAAACCATTTTCTAATATCTCCTCTTGACGGCATATGATACAGGCACTGATTAGCAATTTTCTCCTCGTGAACTTTGTCAAAAGTGAAGAGTAGGATATGCAATCATTGGAGTATCAAAAGTTCTATCTGGAGCCATCAAAGATAGAGTTGGAGCCAGTGCAGGAGACAAAGGGCTACAAAATGGACTACAAAAACTATAGAAAAACCAATATCGTATTGACAATTGTTTTCTAATCCATGTTTCACTATATTTCTTTATTAAACATAATTCAGAATAATCTTGGGCCCACATTAAACCGCCCATCTCCGATCGAATAGCGTAATGAGTACCGTAGGCATCGAAGAATTGTTTCCATTTATTGGTAGACGATGGATCAAAGAATGATGGCAGCTCGGACAATGCTAAACGAGCCACTTCATTGAATTTTGGAGATGGGGAAATTGTTGACGGCTAATGTGTACCAAGTCACTTGCCGGCGTGTCCATGCCATTTGATATCGATACTGGTAGGATTGACGATGTTTTTCAATGATTTCTTGACGACTATGTGATACCCCTAAACCGAAGAAATCCCACGAATGGTGTTCAAAGACATAGTTTGAATTTTGCCAAAATTCGGACAAGTTATTATAGACACTACTGCCATAGGTTGTTAAGGTATAGTTCCTATATTACACCAAAAAAAATGTTTCGTGAATGAATGTCATTTCAGTTATAGGTATTGCTCTTTTCCTTCTACGATTGTGCGATACACTTCTACGATTCCTACTATAGTTCGTTTTTTTTTTTTGTTTTGTAACATAGAAACCCTCCTAAATTTTGTCACAACGCCATATAGTGAACTTAAAAAACCTTTTAGGTTGACTACAAGACCTAAACACGTATTACATGTCAAACCTAAACACTGTTCGATCGCAGTAATAATCTTGTTTACATGATGCGCTTTGTTTCTGCTAACAGCATTTGCGTTATTTCAGCTATAGCATAACTGTCTTTGCCGTCTCAATGTAATTGATACCATAATGTTGTACGCTACATGTTTTTTCGGTTCTGGTAAATCATTAACAAGCTTGAACTTTTACTCGCTGACATTCTTTAATGTCATGGTACTTCATGATGAATTCATTCATAAAATGCGTCTGTGATTTTCGAACGCAAAGATGAATTATTTCAAGCAACTCTGAATTTAAATGACGAATCGAGAGTTTCTTTTTGGCAAAATTTGCGCGCTCAGAAACTCTCTCTTAGTAGATCATCTATACTTAGAGTATTTTCATTATTTCAACTATTTTGCTCACAAAAACATTCAACTATTATATAGCATCGACAGAGCATTTGACGCGCTACAAAATGCTATATCGGCTATTGAGGAAAAATGTAACTAGGTAGTCTAACATCAAAAAAGAAAGAAAAATTAGGCCGTGCGTAAAAGTTTTCCAATAGGATTGCATTGTTTTTTTTTCATGGCCTGCTACCTCTGGGTGTCCTTTTCACACCGGAGGTTATGCGAGACCTTGATTTTTCGCCGCTCGGACGTTGTATCGGATGCGTTTTCTCGGCTCGAAGCAGGTTCATTCGATAGAGGATCCGAAACTGTATATTTCGTATCATTGTCGTATTGGTAATGCTTTTCATTTAGGCATGAGGAACAATATGCGGAATCTAGTACGCGGTCTTTCAGGGCTTTTTGAGGTTAAAGTGATTTTAAAGCTGTCTGATATTCCAGACGCAGGACTTCGCGTCATTATGGAGAGTACTCTCGAATGATAGAAGTTTCAGTTTTTTTTAAGGTGCCCGCAATTCAAAAATGCAGCACCATCTTAACTTTCGGTCGAAAGCTACATACACAGATAGCCCTAACTGAGCTGATTGCTAGTATCACCTTTTGATTCGAATTCGATCAAGTTTTCGGGGAGAAATCCTCAAAATACTAAGAGTACCAATAGAACAAAAGATTTGCATCCCTCTAAGAAAACTTGAGATTTTGCCACCTTCCGTTCACTGTAATTTTTCAAATCTGATATATTCGGATTCACGATCAAACACTGAGTCTAATCGTGTACCTTTGAGTCACAAGAAACAAAATACCTGTGTTACACATTTTTGACAAGAGTAAGCGCTCGACAAAATGAGCTGCCTCTCTCCCAAACCTATCTCCTCCCTAGCTTTGAAACTTTTCTCCGATCGTCATACGCCATTCGAATCCGTATTTAAAGGCAAACATACGAAATGGGGTGAATAATATCATATAATTCAACTTTCTTTCTAGTCTTTCATAATTATCATGTAATTCATAGATCCATAACAGAAAAAAATGAATTTCTGTGTATCTGAATAACCCAAGCACACAAGCACGTCCGGTGTTATCCCGTTCATTGGATCGCGATCCATGCTGCTTAATCCGCTGTGGATGACAAGCTGTCTGGGTGACAAACACTCAAAACGAAGTTCGCCTGTGGTACTGCCTGGCATAATCCCAATATAACGTGCAAGTCCTTCGCTGCATTGCTCGGCATCGAGGGCGCCCATGATGGCTGCATATTTTGTTTCGCTTCTATTATCCTTTGCACAACCGCCGGTCAGAACAACGCACCCATTTTTCGCCAGCTCGCGACCGACCAAACGTGCGCATCCACTTCCATCATCGCCACCAATCACCCCGACTACGGAGACTCGTCTCATGGTGGCCATGTTACCGGATAAAAATGTCGAACGTTTAGCTGCTCCAAAAACAACACTGTAACGATAGAATCATTGTTTGAGATGACAAATTTTACAATAAAAATTAAGAATAAAATCACTTTTTCACGTGAAACGACTAATTTCAAAATGAGACAGACGTTTCATCTTTATTCTAAAGACATCATCAATCAAACCGATATGCGAAAAGTGAATTCAAGCATAGAGAAATAAAAATAACACGCGTGTAGGACAACAAAATATTTCAACTTCTCTCACCTTTTATATTATAGTGTGATTCATCCTAAAAAAGGTTCAACATAAAAGTCTTTTTTGAGAATATATAGTTCTCACTTTCTTTTACTATGAATGTCAATGAGCAGACTCTCTTTTACCTCGCTCTTTAATTTATGAGATTGTATGGCGATATAAGGCGACAGAAGTTAAAATATTTTGTTGTTCTACACACCTGTTAGTCTTATTTCTCTATGTTTGAATTCACTTTTTGCATATCGGTTTGATTGATGATGTCTTTAGAATAAAGATGAAACGTCTGTCTCATTTTGAAATTAGTCGTTTCACGTGAAAAAGGTGATTTTATCCTGAATTTATACCGTAACGATAATTTCATGTGTTGTATATGAAAGAAGAGAAGTGAAAGTGAAACGATGAAAAAGAGAGAATCACTCTCTTGCCCAGTAAAGGTAGATGGAAGAGGAAAGAAAAAGAGACGCAATATTTTCAATTAAAAGAATTGCATGTTGATGTGCAACATCGTTGTTGATCATCATTATCTTCATACTAGGAGGACTAAACCGATGATTATCGACACTGATGATGTCATTCAATAATGTTATTCAACATCAGCAGCATCATAGCTATTAGTAGGACCAGTTTTCTTAATCTCGGTCAACTCAATATCGAAGTAAGGTAACTAAGTTGTGATGGAATAAACTCTATTTGCAATCCAGCTCCAATTGAACTTATTGTATAATTCTATTCAATTTCTAAAATGAAGAATAAAATGGAGACGGTATGAGAAGCCAGAAAGGTACTTACTTCGTCAGGAAAGAATGTTAAAAAAGCTGAAATTTCTTCAGCAAATCATTAACCAATTATGAATTATGCGTGAACCCATATTTTTTGAGTGCATAAATACAAATCAGTTTAATGAACATTTTACAAAGTAGCCATAAGACATCAAGCCGTATATAAGATCCATTTAAAAGTTTTACCGATTGCTACCAGTTTCTTACTTGACAAGAATGTGCAGCGGACAGATAGATCATCGAATTTCGAAGTGGACGGTTGATGTGCCCGCTGGGGAATTAATTGCTGAGTCTGTATTTTACACACCGCTGTGAATTTCAGACCGTCACAGGAAACAGACTGGGCACTCATACACGTTTTTACGGTGTGCAGTCTGATTTTGTCATCTGGCAGATCTTAATCTAAAAATATATATACGTTGTAACGAAAGTGGAGGAATTAATTGCAAAGCTGTTTATTTACCAATTCATCAGCCATCATCAATCAAAATAAATAGCTAACGTTCAATCTGTGATTTTGACGGATCATAGGAGATCTTTTCGATGGCTCAAGGAAATCGAGATCTGTACACTGCTGGGATTTTTTGGGTGTATGGTCTATACCAATCGAACACGAAGTTATTCGATATTCAAATAAGTAGCGCACCTAACGATCTTTATATTTTGCTAATGGGTGAAGTATGTGTTGGCAAATTAACATTTATTAACTCACTTGTAAATTACATAACTTATCATACATTAGAAGATGCCTTATTACAAACAATTGTAGCAATTATTTCAGCGACCTTTTTTGTTACTGATTCAAGTTCATTTGCATCCGATACAGTTGATACTGGTATATAGGATTCAAGTGTGTTCAATATTGAAACCGATCAATCTAAAACACAGTCAACTGTTTTCAATCAGGAATAGAGAACTACGCATTATTGATGTGCCTTGTGTTGAGACACTCGTGGTGTACACAAGATGGAAAAAATTTTGAAAACATTCTAGCTTATATCAATCATACAAAACACACTAAAAACAATCAAGGAGCAATCAAAAACACATGCGTAGCTGGGATACCTCAGTACAAGAAACAACTAATTTCCTTCAGCGTACTCCTCAACTAAAAAAATTATAATTATTTATTATATTAAAATTATATTATAAGAAATTATGATCGGGAAAAATGAAGCAAACAGACCGATGTGACGAATGTTCGTATTCTTGTTGCGAAATCCAACGAAATTTCGTTCTGAACACTAGTCAGTTGGTCTCAGACTGGAAATGTACTTAACTTAAACTCTCATCCACCAAGACGAGGAAACTACTCTGTCAGCCGTCCGCTGCACTAATACATAAGGCTTTATCCCTTCAAAGCAGACAGCGTGGTAGTTACGTGCGGTGCCTCTGGCACGCTCACCACTTCGCTCGTCGAGTACTGGCGTGATTACGAGAGAAGAAGTCAATATGGGTTTGATTATCACACCAGGCCGTTAGACTTCTCCAAAACAATGAACAATAAAATCGTTCACTAATAACTCATCTCAGATTGAGTTAAACTCGATAATATTTTTGCTACAAAGAAAGTCAGGCAACGGGAAACTCGCGGCAAAAATAGGGACAGTATCTTGAATATCTTGTGATTTGTTGGCTTCTTGCAGCAAGTTCTTAACCAAGATCTTCAGAGAGTAAATCTTGAATCCAAGGTTTTGGTAGTTCTAAAAACACCGCTTTGTTTTACACTCTTGTTTGCATATATACGCAATTATTTTTATATCTAAAATAACTTCGAATTTGTTTGTTGCTTAAACATACCCAGTCGAGGGAGCGCTTATAATCGTATACGATCGTATGTCTTGCAGCACTGGCTATCATATACTTAGGCGTAACTATGAGGTGGACCATCGGGCCATGGCTAATGCGATCTGAGCATTGGCCCAATACCAAATTTTTTCGAGTGTTCAGCCCAAAGCATTTCCCTCACTCACCACTCCTGAATAATACTTGTGACATGAAAGCGAAATAAGGTGCTGCCAAATCAGAAAGATAGCATGATTTGTGTTTCCCTTCTTTCTGGCATGGTTGAATGGAGCTCATCGACTTACCTCGGAAAAAGCCAATTTAAGGTTTTTTAACGTCATTTTTGGATGAAAAAATTGAAAAATACTGAATTGCAGGAAAAACAGTAATATATGCTTTATGATATTGTGTACACCGATTTGCTCTTATCAATATCTATGACTAAATCGTACTCAAGTACATACGCAAACCAAAAAAAACACACTTGTGACATATGGTCTGAAGTAGGAGTGTTAGTTTGGTTTTATTGTTCACGGATAATAATGGATAAATATAAATTTGTCATTTGCATTTAAATAATAAAGATAAATAAATGGAAAGTTTCTAGTTTTGAGTTAGTTTCCACCGATAACTGAGTCTAGAAAGCTAATGTTGGAAAATTTAGAAGCTAAATTGTACTCAGAATCTGCAAAACATGAGCAGAATGGTGAAGGGGCTGCCGGTCAATTTTACGAACCTATCTAGCCCTATGATTTTGGAGATAATCTCGAAACACACAGTTTTCGACTTAGTTTGTAATGCTAGTTCAGAAAATGGCCTTTTTTTGTGTCGAAAAAGTGAATTTTGATACAGGAAACGACGACATACGAGCCGAATTTTACTGATTTTGAAAAAATTGGATTTCTTGGCAACAAAACAAAATTTTCCTAAAAGGATGTTTAAATTTTTGCTCACGAGTATCGCGATCAGAATGAAGTAAAAGAAAGATTTTTATCTCCAAAATCGTAGGACCAGATAGGTTCGTAAAACTTTTTCAATTTTTCCATATAAAAATGACGCTTAAAAATCTTAAACTGCCACGATAACGAGCAGCACGGACAATGACGGTATCAGAACTGGCAGTAGTCGAAAAGATTTCCTGTCCAGGCAGAAAATGTTCGACTAGGTCCACCGAATTTTTTCGACTCTATGGAACACGGGCCAGCAGTCTAACATCTTGGGTACGCCATTGATCATACACAAAACGAAAACGTAAAAGGTAGTTTTTTCACTCTAGATCTTGTGTTTACAAGAGCTTGAGCACAAGATTTAAGAATCGAAGATCTTGTTCAACACAAAATTTTTTATATGGATTTTGTGGAGAATAAAAGCTCTACAAAATAAACACACTGAGGATTTTCAACATTTCTTCCTTCCTTTAGAAAGTGGCAATCACCTGAAAAATTGACGTGTTGGAAAGTCTACAAATTTTAGAAAAGCGCTTTTTTGCCCTCAACATCAAACAACATCAAAGCTGAAATTTCTTCAGCAAATCATTAACCAATTATGAATTATGCGTGAACCCATATTTTTTGAGTGCATAAATACAAATCAGTTTAATGAACATTTTACAAAGTAGCCATAAGACATCAAGCCG